CAATACAGTCAAATGGATAAATAAACAGTGCTAAAATAGGAACAAGATGTTATAATTATATCAAGCATAACCCTTATATATAAATTCAATTTCATGAAAAAAGTGTTTCTGGCAGGATTCGAACCAGCATGTAACATAACGATATACTGTAATTACATTATAATAATTCTGGTACGGACTTACCTGTTCCACTGAAGTCTAATCATACAATTACATTCCCAACAAAGACCATGAAGTTAAGTATTCACACCTATGTCTGTAATATCTGAAATTGTACCAGTTGTATCTTCTTAAATGTCCTCCCTATTGTCGGTTTTATCTGCTGTGTCGTCCAAGGCTAATCCGAGGTGAAGGCTGGGATCCCCTCCGTAGCATCGGAAAAATCCTACGAACAGACACACGAGCATACACATAGAAATACGGTTCAAAGCACACCTATTACCAAACGGCAACTACTGTTCCTTGTTACAGTATTTGATTTTTTGAGGATTGGGTTAATCTAGTTAATCCGGAACAACAGAGGGCAGTATTATTCAAAATTGTTAGCACACACTTTAAATTCAATGCACACACCAGTTTGGTGGATCGACCATACGCGCAATAAGTCATTAAAACAGGTTCCCGTAGTCTCGAAAGCTCCGATGAGGGCAGTATAATAGAGGCAGTAGAGTATATTGGCCCTAATGACCGCCCATACAAAAAAGACATTACTATTCAATCAACTCAGTGTTTCTAGAGCTCCTCCTTATCAGAGCTAATAATGAAAAACGATCATTATAAAGAAACAGGAGCTTGCATTCTTCCTCGGAGACCGTTTCGGTATATTAATTAGAGGTCTTCTAAGAAACGCGTCGTTTTTCCACCTACACGGACGAAGTAAGAGTGTCATTATAATAAATGAAGCGGCTTTGTTAAAAACTATTTTCTCCATGATAAAACGTCTCTGTTATTTTTTTTTTTCAAGACGTGTGGTTGCTGCAGAGGACCGTTCCGTGATGAGACGCCGAAAGATATACATTCTTTGACGATACTGAAACGCGTTTGATTTTGGCATCCCCAAGAAGTAGAACCCGCAAGCGAAGTGTCTTGGCGCTATAGGATAGCAGATCACATCGAACAAAGACAACCCGTTACATTCGAACTCGTCCTAGTGGACAACGATGATAAACGTCGGATGTGGAATCCGTACGGCGTGTTCACAATGCAACTTAACTGCACACCGATAGCGCAGCCTGGTTGAGCTCATGAAATAAACGTAAAAGAAACGTAACACAGATATCTGTTTTGCTAGATTTAATTGTTTTTTTTTCAATAAACGCTGTTATCTGTTGACGTTTTCCAACGCCATAGCAGGGTCACCACGACCGACCCTCGACTGTGACCAGTATTCAACAGAGTAGCGGTACTCGTTTGACTGATAGGACCGCACGACGGAATTCGAGTGTGTAATCTATCTGAGGAAGAGCCTTCCTCCACACGAGTGAGAAACTTTCTTAGGAAAAAAATGTAGAATGTAAAAGTTGAATGATCGTGCATCCACGTCCGACCCTTAACTACGAAATGATTTAAAATAAATAGCAGTACTCGTCTGACAGATGGGTTAATGCCGAACGATGGAATCGTACTCGATGATGTTACACCTGGAAACCCTGAATCGAAGGTCGATAGACCGATCGATTCCTCGAGGTTTCACATTACAGTTACAGCGATCAGTGTGAAAGTATAGGAAAAGGTAATGTTAGGCCTATTGGTTGCGAAAGCAACAACCCACTAACGTGAAAAATAAATGGCAAGGAAAGGCAATACGATTGTTCAAAATAGTGTTTATTTACTTATTCTAGCGTTCTCCTTGCATTGTATGCTTTGAAATTTATGTGATCCTTAGTCAACCTTAGCTAGCGTAGAAATCGTAGCGAGTTTGAGGGCTCGAAGACTCTCGTATAGGCCTACTTAAACAGGAGGGTTGCCAAAGTGTGAGTCAGCGATTCATCCAGCGAGGCATGCAATTCATGCCAGCCATAGTGGTAATTCATGGGGGAAGTGTACCAAGGCACACAGAAGTCCATGCTAATAAGCACTTGTACAATTTATAAAAACAATTAATTACAATAATGAATTTTAACTACTTTTAACATAATTATTTTTATGTTAAAAAGACAATGTCCAGCTATAACAGACGTGACTTCAAATATGCCTATAATGAATGACTAGGCTATGTAATATTCATTTCACTCACGCTGCCCATTCGCCCAATGCATGGAGGGAGTACCTCATTTTTTTCACAAAATAAACAAACTAGCAGACAATTAAAAAACATGAAACCAACCACAATTGAAAGAGTAAACGTCATAATTTAAAATGCACAAAAGCCTAATAATGATTAATTTATGGGCTAACGTCCTGTGATTCATCATGTTTTAAAATACAAGTAATAATTTCACAGTATTTATTCAAATAAACGCCCTGTTTTGAACAAACTCCACCTCGAATAAACGCCCCCCTCACAAAAAAGGTCATTAGCAATAAACACCTCGAGGCGTTTAATTTTTTTCGAATTGTCTCTAAGTAACTATAGACGGATGAAATGGAAGCAATATCATTTTCAACATTGAATTAGTTATCATTGTTTTACCCTAGTGGAATTAAATTAAAATCCTCAAAGTCAATTTCCAATCAATTTGGTATAGTTTACTGGCGTTCCAACCAAGATTATTCATCATTATATTATCATATTGTCAGTGGTGGCGCTAGAAATTCGCTAGGTTAAAGAAACTTTAGTTTCTTTAACCTAGAATTACTCTCGTTTCGTGTATGTTATACCTGGAGGCTTCCCTTGGCGATTATGACATAAATAAAACATGTCGATCGCGTTTACGACGCAAAAATTCTAGGCGCATGCATAATTTTAGGCACGGCGGCTCAGGGTTGGCACGGTGGGTTTACGAAAGGGCCAAATCAGGCCCGTAGGCAGCATTTTCGATGGGGAAGTGCGTTTTTGCGACCAAAGCCGACTTTGGGCGACCGCCTAGGGATCTAGGGATCTGTCACTGTGAAGTTGTCCCCCACCCCCTAATCTGTCACTGTAAAGTTGTAACTTTTTATGTCCTTTACATCTGTAGGTCTACAGATGACATGGATCAATCTGCAATCACTAGAGCTGGTAATTTCCAACAGATTTCGTAGCACATTGTTAAAAATCAACGGTTAGAAGACCGGGAAAAAATGTGTAATGCATTCTAGGCCTATTTCGCATTTCCCGATAATCAGGAAAAATTTTAATGAAATAATAGGTTTTAAAAAGTGGACTTTTTGAAATTTGGTGGTCCAGGGGCAGAGACCTTAAGGGGTTTTTTGAGAAAAGCCCCAGGAGGCTCCGACAAAGTAGCATATTGAAGGTTTTATATAATGAATTTCTCAAGCACATAATTTGTGAATATTTAAATTTTCATTAATTTGTTTAATCTTCATTAATTTGGGTGTTTTTGAGACCTGAAAAAACGCTATTATTTTGTCCTGTACATCTGCAGGCCTACAGATAACATTGTTCATATTATAGATCAATCTGCAGTCACCGGAGGCGATAAATTTCAAACAAATTTCATATATTTAAAATCAATTGCTGGATGTGCTGGCAAATATATAATGCAATGCATGCTATAGCATTTTGTGATAATTAGGAACGATTTAGTGAAATAATAGGTTTTAAAAAGTGGACCGCCTACGGTCCTGTGATGCCAAATGCATCGGCGACTTCTTTGGTAACGCTGATTGTTCAGTTGAATCAGGGGGCGTTTCAGATTGCGTCGCAGTGAAAGGATTGCAGTGAAAACGTTGTAGCGACTGTGTAGCGATTCTATGGAAACCAGGCTTTAGTCTGAAAAAGTCTTGTCCAGGGACCCAGATGTTTTGCTTCCTGTCTTTCCAGGATCCTCCCAAAGGCCTCCTGTAACACCACATCTCAAATGCATCTATCCTCTTCCCATCGTTCTGTCATTGCCCTGGATTTACACCCATATATGGCAATTGAGAAGACCGTTGCATGAATCCGACGACACAATGACAAACTGAGCCTCTATCTGGGTGAGGACAGGGATTCAACTAAATGAATAGTGAATAATTGGTTCAAAATCCCGATGTAGACCGACACTTTTGGTGCTCCCTTTTGGTGAGTTCTAGTAGGCTCATCACAATCTGTCTCTTATACACATCTATATCTGTTTTGCTAGATTTAATTGTTTTTTTTTCAATAAACGCTGTTATCTGTTGACGTTTTCCAACGCCATAGCAGGGTCACCACGACCGACCCTCGACTGTGACCAGTGGTTTTCTCCTCTTGAAAAAGATCAGGTAATTTTATCTCATTTTTTAGGCCATTATATAGAGAAAAAAAATCAAAGACATAAGCAATATATTATTATATTCCAACAATATTGAGTAGAACGCACTTTCGTACATACCGTACATTATTACGACATTGAACCAAAAACAGTCTGTATAATTTTATTTAATTGAAGGCTAGTTGGGTAAAGCATAGTTTGTCTGATTTGCCAACCTATATGCCTAGGTAGGTTCAGGCGCGGATCCAGCGGGGGGCCATGGGAGCCCGTTCCCCTACCCCCGTCAGTCACACCGAAAAATATAAACAAAATTGAGAAGAGTTAAAGGGAGGAAAGAAAGAGGGGAAAAAAGGAAGTGTACCCATGAGGTCAGTTACGGATCCAGCAGAGGGCGAAAAGAGAGCTCGATTATTTTACCACTCACTAATTTTGAATTTTATATTGATTGTCAACGAACACAACGCTATTATCCCCGACGCATCAATCAGGGTGTGAAAAGGCCAAAAGGCGGAGACCTAAAGACAGAGATTTTTTAGTACCCAGCTATAGAACAGTTATCCATGCTCAGCATGGAGTAACGCCTACGCGTTCTCGTGCAAAAATCCGCAGGCCACCGACCCTTATGTGTATAATGATTTTGATAAACAATCATAATTCTCTGTACTATCTACTAAACATTTAACGAATGAACTTCCTTGTGTTGTGGTCATATTAGACTGTTATATTTTTAAAGAAGACCATTCAGCAAACAACATAAAACAAAATTCCCATAAAAACGTATAATTTCCTGAAATTTGGATATAGAGCGGACTTCCTTGTGATTTAGACCGAAGGAAAATGAAATGTATATGGGTCTGAACTTTGTAGGTGCAAAGTGTTCTTCCTTATGTTGTGGTCATATTAGGATATAATATAATTAAAGACCATTCAACAAACAACATGAAACATATATCAAACTTTTAGGTTAAAATTTCCGCTTCCGAGCATGGATATAACGTAATTTTTTAGATATATAATATTTTCATGACAGTCGAGAATGTACTGATTATAAAACTTATAGATAATTATTGTTGTCCGATTGTGTGCATTGAAAATATGATGACGAACTCGGGATACGGGCCT